AAAAATATAAATATATAGGCATAATAAAATTGTCTTTTTTAAATAAAAAAAATTATATATCGTTAAAAAGAAAGATCGAGATAATATAAAATGTCTAGTAGTGCCTTACGTACCGTAGTCGTTTAAATGTTCTGGAAATCTTACTCGTCTTCCAGAACGCGTCGTTTTAGGTATATTTTCAGATACATTCGGATTATCATCGCTAATGTTGGTTGTCGGTTGAGGAATTATGAGTGTAGGAGTCGTGTTGTGCGATTGTACCGAAGGAAAATCGGCGTGAATAGGATTTCCTTCTAAATACGCTGCTTTTAAGCGATCGATGCTAATGCTATCGTTTGTTCCGTTCTTGTCGACTATATAGTACTTAGATTCACGTTGAAGAACTTTGAAAGGTCCTTCGCATGCTGATTCGAAAAGTCATCGATGCGAGTCTCGACGAACGAAAACGTGTGTACTATATCGTAAGTCAGGTTGAACGAATACATCAGTCGATTGAGGTCGAGTGGAAGCAGGTTTAACTGAACGCATTGCGTTTGTAAGCCTGTTCGTGTAGGAGGTTAGATCCATGTTCATTGAAGAGGATGAAGGATCCACGAATTCTCCTGGAAGTCGAAGTATCGTTCCATAAACGAGTTGAGCCGCAGTGTATCCAATGTCAGCTTTCACTGCATTGCGGATACCTAGTAAGACGAGTGGAAGAGCGTTGGTCCACTGTGAAACGTTTGCAGCTGATAGTGAAGCTTTTAGTTGTCGGTGAATGCGTTCTACCAAACCGTTTGCTTGTGGGTGGTAGGCAGTCGTTCGGAAGCGAGTGGTTCCTAAAAGTGTGGTCAGACGACGGAAAAGTTCAGATTCAAACTGACGTCCGCGGTCTGTAGTGATGGTTTAAGGGCAGCCGAAGTTTGCTACCCATCGTTCGACAAAGGTGCAAACCACTGTTCGGCAGTGATGTCTTTGATAGGTACTGCTTCTGGCCATCGAGTGAAACGGTCTACGCAGGTTAAGAGGTAAGAGTATCCATTTAAATCTGGTAAAGGTCCTACCAAATCCAGATGAACATGGTCGAAACGACCGTCGGGAGTTTAAAATGAGCCTAAGGGACATTTATTGTGTCTGATGCCCACTCTCTCACGTCTTTATTCATGCCAGGCCAGCAAAACCGTCCTGCTATAAGCTTGATGGTTGCACGAACACCTGGATGCGAAAGTTTGTGCAATGTGTTGAAGACATTGCGTCGATAACGTTTCGGCACGATTGGGCGATCCCTACCTGTAGATGTGTCACACAGTAATGTTTCCTTACCTGTGTCCCATCTGTTTGATGCGCAGTTTAAGGATTGTAGACGATAACTCGTGCTGAAGATCAGTGTCTTCTTTTTGAAGCTCGGCGAGTTTAAGAAGGTTGATGCCATGGAAACTGTTCAAAGAAGTTATGCGAGATAAGGCGTCTGCAACTACATTGTTTGCTCCAGAGATGTGTTGAATGTCTGAAGTAAACTGCGAAATGTAGTCCAGTTGTCGAGATTCACGGGGAGAGTACTTGTCTGAAGTGGAGCTTAGAGAGAAGTTGAGTGGTTTACGGTCAGTGAAAAGAGTGAATTCACGACCTTCGATGTAGTGTTGAAAATGTCGTACAGCACAATACATAGCTAGGAGTTCCCTACCGAATGTGCTGTACCTCGATTCGGTGTCTAGCTACCGTCTAGAGAAAAATGCCAATGGTTGCCAGGAGTTGTTAACCCACTGTTGTAAGACTCCTCCGATCGCTGAGTCGGATGCGTCTACTGCGATGCTAATGGGTGCTCGGGTGTCCTGATGTGCAAGCATTGTTGCTTTAGCGATGAGTTCCTTAATCATGGAGAATACTTTTCGTGCGGTGTCATCCAAATTAATGGATTTCACATTTCCACGAAGTTGGTCGGTTAGCGGTTTCTTGAGTAAAGCGCATTTAGGTATAAATCGTCTATAGAAACTTATAAGGCCGTTAAACGTTCGTAATTGCTTGATGGTGGTTGGTTCTGGGTAGTCCAGAATGGCCGCCACTTTGGTCCTAAGGGGTCGAATGCCTTGAGCATCGACAGTGTGTCCTACGAAGTCTAACGAGTCGGTCCCGATTCGGCATTTCTGAACGTTTACAGTAATGCCATGCTTTTGTAGTCGTTCGAAAACAAGATCCAGATGCTTGAGATGTGTTTCTCTGTCCGGACTTGCGATTAGACAGTCGTCAACATACACGTGTACGAAGTTGAGACCTCTAAAAACGTCGTCTATGAATCTTTGGAATGTTTGAGCAGCATTTCTTAGACCGAAAGGCATTCGCAAGAATTCATATAGTCCGAAGGGAGTTATGATAGCTGTTTTCGGTATGTCGTCAGTAGCCATAGGGATTTGGTTATACGCTTTAACCAAGTCGATTTTCGAAAAGACAGTTGTACCTTTCAAGGTAGCTGTCAAATCGTGAATGTGAGGCAACGGGTAACGATCGGGAATGGTTTTCGCGTTCAATCGCCTATAGTCACCAGTTGGACGCCAATCGTTGCTGTCCTTTTTAGGGACCATGTGCAACGGAGATGCATATGGGCTACTTGACGGTCGTATGATTCCTAAGTCTATCATATGATCGAACTCGTTTTTCGCTAACCTTAGCTTTTCAGGAGCTATTCGTCGTGCTCTAGAGAATACAGGTGGTCCTGTAGTCGTGATGTGATGTGTAACATTGCTGGTTACACACGGTAGTTTCGGTTGAGTTTGTTGTATCTCAGGGTACTTATCGAGTAGTGGTTGATAGAGTGGGTCTATCATATGTTTAACTGTGACTGGGGATACTCTGCAACCAGTAAAAGAAGTTACGCAAACGGACAAATTAGTGTTTCCGTCTATTAGCCTCCGTTTGCGAGTGTCGATGATCAGATTGTGGTGTTGTAGAAGGTCCATACCAATGATTGGCATAGAAACATCTGCAACAACGAAAATCCAGTGGATGGGTTTGCGTAAACCTACGTTCAGGTAAACGTACCTTTTGCCATACGTAGCCATAGGTTTTCCGTTTGCCACCGGTAAGTTTAAAGCCGATTCGTGAAGCCGGTCGTTGGGATTCGCTGGGAGAACGCTAACTTCTGCGCCAGTGTCGACGAGGTAGCGAACTCTCATTGTCACATCTGTGACGTACAACAGACGGCTATGTTCGCCAGCTATGGTTGTCGTTAATGCGTGCCGGCTTTGAAGTTTCCCGAGTTGTTTTTCGAGTCATTCGGTTTCGTGTTGGGAAAATTGCAGGGTTTTCTGCAATTTCTGGAAGACTTTCCATACTGGTTATGATACCAGCATCAGTCGGGGTTATCCGTCTCTGTTATGTCATTCTGAGTCGTTTGAAACTTTTCTTTGACTGAAAAAACCTCGGTAGTAGATTTCGTAATTTCTAAGATACAATCGACAGATGCAGTCAGTTCATCTAAGGCGTTGTTCTGAAATGAGACCAGAACCGCTTGCACCTGTTGGGGAAGTTTAGACAAGAAGAGTTGTTTGAATAGACCTTCGTCGAAAGTTCTTAGTCCTATAACCTCTCCCATCCTTTGCAACATGTCCGTCGCAGAATCGTGTTGCAGGTCTATGTTATTAAAGAGTTGATCTAGCCTTTGTCGATCGGTTAGGTCTCCTCGTTTAAGAATCGAACGTTTTAAGGTTTCGTAAGGTTCAGAAACATCACTAGTAAACATACTAGGTGTTACGTACCTGTTGAATTTCTGCGGTAGTGCCTTGACTACTGCGAGGAATTGTGCACGTGTGTCGATCACGCCGTGCTCGTGGAAGTCGGCTTCTTCGTAGCAGTCATGATGAAATATGAAGTACCATAATGAACGAGGGGAATATATATATATCCAAGAAAAAACACGAAAAAAAATCACAATGTTTAAAAAAAATAAAAAAATAAGGCAATGATATATAAAAATCCCAAAAAGGAACAGACCCACAGTAGCAATAAGGTGTACCAGATCACGACGGTCTCACCAATGAATGATGTCACAGGTATTCAGTGTTTGACAACGCTTCTACCAGTAACACCTTCTAATGTATTTCGTTCCCACCCAGAGAAATCAAAAGACAGAGTCGAGGAGATCGGAGGAGTGAAGTTGGCGATAACCAATATATATCGGAATTCTCTGATCTAACCTGGCTAGCGATTGCGGTTGATGTTGAGCACGGCGTTATCACACGTGATCTGGTGCGGCTGCATGGCCGAGCGCCTTCAGCTAGATGAGTCTACTAAAACTAATCTGGTCAGTATCCAATGTCGAAAACTTACAGAGCTATTTATCTTGGGGATTTATTTACCGCTACAATGTTAACACTGTCTTGTACGAAGCGTTTGTTTGTCCTGTACTCGCGCAGTGGATACAAGCCGCTGATTCTGCTCCAAAGAGACAGTGAAATAGTAAAAAGGTTTAGTCCTAGAATTGTAAAGCTGCCGTATGAAGAGAGAACGACTATACTAAGTCTTTTCTCCTAGTCACTTCAGAGGAATATATATTACTCGATTACTGCTTTTAAATAACTTAATAATGGTTTCGCATCTGGTATATCTTAATTATTTTCGTCTTCCATGACAGGGAGTTTATAATGCCACCACAAAAAATCTCACAGGCCCAGAATAAATTGTTGTTAAGTGACTGTCGACTTCCACGTCGAATCAACGATTGAAGCTCCTCATATAAACACTTTATTATGGTTCCATATGTGGATACGTTCTAAGGAAAACTGTATTAACTGAGAGATTCCATCATCAGAGCAAAAACAAGTTACTCACTTTCCATCCTTCCAAGACTGAAACTGAAATTTTTTAAAAAACCTGTCTGTAGCCCTAGGTGTTATTGATCCATTACTTCTAAACAAATGCTCTCTTTAAAGTAAAAGATCCTTTAACATTTCCACAACGAATAAAACCAATAAAAACGGACGCTGTCCATTGAACTTCTGTGTTATAATGTATACAATAATGAATAGCAAAGTAGTAGTCACTAACGCACTAATTTGTTTTTGGGCTAAACGTCAAATATGACTGCTAGTGAGGCGGACATCCGTGACCTACAGTCAAATGTCCGTAAAGTACTTACTTCGACCAAAGACCCACTGGAAAAACTCAGATGTCAATGCTTGTTGCGTGGAGCGAATGGTATCTATGGATTTGGAAAACAATTTCGTATCATGGATGACGATGGGAGCAAGTCTTTATCTAAAGAAGAGTTCAAGAAGGGCTGCCATGATTTCGGCTGTAACTTAACTCCAGAGGAGGTTGATGTGCTTTTCAGAATGGTAGATAAGGATGGCAGTGGTACAATAATTTTCGACGAGTTTCTACGTGCTTTACGCGTAGGTTTTCGAAGTACTGTACAGTTATTTCTTTAGCCACCAATGTCAAATTCACGAATAGATGTTGTCAGGAAGGCATTCAATAAAATGGACAAAACCGGGGACGGGAAAATTACGGTAATTAAACTATGGTAGTATTATAAGCAGCGTTAATATTCGTACAAAGCACCGAATATGTTTCAACAATGGAAGATATTTGTGGTAAATACATTGTTTATAGGAATCACTTAGGTTTAATCTACGAGAAAATGGTCAGATCATACACTTGTCATTTCAATTAGAAAGTATTAGTTGGATAACTTGTATATGGTTTATGCGACAATGGTATAGGGCATGACAAATCAACGCGATTGTATTAGATTGAACATCTTCAGCTTCATATTAGGTGACACTATTAGATTTATCTGACTAAAATCTGCATGCTTTACGACGCTGACTTAATGTAGTTAGATAATGATTTACGTTTTGTGCTTTTTATCTCAAACAGAGGTCCAAGTGTTATTTTGTTTCACTCCTCATTAGCCAAGCATTACTGCAGGTACGGCTTCGACACTATACGTGAAAGTTAACAGAACGGTAGTAAGCCTAGCAATGCTATCATTTGTAAGAATCTTTCACATGAAGCCACAGTAAAATAAGTAGTTTCACAATTTAGTATGTGAAGTTGTGGAGTTTGAAAACAATACTTGAGTGACTTTTCAACAACTCCCTTTCAGTTGGATGATCTACACAACGTGTATCAAGTTAAATATGATGCCAAATACACGTCTGGGAGAGCGACTGAAGATCAAGTTCTAAGAGAGTTTCTAAAAACATTTGAAAACGAGAAGTCTGTGGATGGTGTCGTAAGTAATTTGGTTTGTTCACGTTTATTGAAATCTTTAAATCTTACCAATTTTGTGTATCTCTGTGACTAGTTTAGAGTCAGTTATCTTAGTGGTATTAATTTAGTTGGATTTGTATGATATTTTGTAATTAAGATTATGATTGTTATAAGAAACCAAGCAAAACCCGTCACCATCACTAACCTGATGTTTACGCCCAGAACCACACTTTGGTGTTATTAGTCGCATAACAGTCCTGTGAACATTGATGAGATGATTTTTTAACTGTGACATATCGGTTTATAGTTTTACAGTTGACTGAATTAGTTTTTTTGTTGGTAAGCTTAGGAGAGACTGTTTTCCATAACATTATTTGTAGTTATACCACTTAGGTACCACTTAAGGTATTTTTAAATTTTTTGGTTTCCCGAAGGTTTGATCTTACGGGCAAGATAATTCCTGGTTGAGAGCGGTTGAAAAGAAGCCGATTTGGTCAAGTTACTTAATATTGCCAAGACGGTAATTCTTTCCTAGATTTTTGGAATATATTTTATGTCAACGCTGCAGTCTGAGGTTGATGATGCGTCAATTGTAAACCTAAAAATTCGCCCAAAATACTGGACACAGGCAGACAGAGAATTTATCCCACCCTACGTAGTGATAGTGTGGAAACAACTTTAACTAAAAACTATAATCAACTGAGTGTTCCATCACTCTGGAATAATGGTATTGTTACTCATCCAAAGGAATCCTCAAAGAGAACGTGAGCACCATTGAAGAACAAATATATTAGTTGAGTGCACCAAGTTGCCATACCATATCAGCATAGCGACATAAAAGTGTAGTATGTGAAGTAATAGTATATTAGTGCAAGGAAAAAAGGCATAGCCGATGAAGTAATTATATCCTCTTTTGTCAAATGCTTAAACAATGTCGTATGTATCGCAAATCACGAAACCTTGTTTTTGGTAGTATTATTTACTCTAAACTCGATATTTTCACTGTCATTCTAGATGTCATCGGTATGTATTCATTAACTTATGTGACCAGTTATTGGGTGTCATTATGGTATACAACGTCGACCAATGTACAGTAAAAACCAAAGGAACATTCGTTGACATGTACTACTTGTGACACGATATTAGTCTTGCTGTGTTGGCGTGTGTTGAATGGATCTGACAATATTAGTTTTGCTCTTTTGTTGAAAATGCAAAGTTCATTTTAGTGCTCTGAAAGGGAAATTACCACTGTGTATTGACATTATTGAGTTCTGGCCATCGTGATATTTAGTGGCTTTAACTGGTACCGGACACAACTCGAAATATATCCCAGCTGTCATCTTACTACATGTTCTATGAAAAGAGGGAATGCATCAAGTTCCCTTAATACTATGATATCTCCGATTCCATTTTTTAAAAACTGATGCTACTTCGTCTAGTGTAACATACTTCTTGGTGCACTATTAAAATGAAATGTAATCAACTCATAAGTACTGTTTTTGAGAACAATGCCTGAATATTGAGAACACATTTCGTTGCGTTGTTTGACTGATCTGTACGATTATTACTTTGGAAAACGAATACCGTTAAGTACATGATCTCTACTACTTTCAGTCTGTAAATATGTTCACTGATAGTTTCCATGGTAAAGTAACATTCATAACTTCACAGGGTGGCATTCTATTAATATGTCATTCAGCATTAATAAGGCCAGAAGATTGTCTCAGTTTATGGTCTTATTTACTTACACAGGCCTTGTGATTTAAGTACAGAGGAAATAAGGGCATATTTATTGCCATTACTATTAATAAACCATATGGTTAGAATCTCGGTGTCTTTCAACAGACGTTTGGAAACCTTAATTCCAAATCAAAAACATGATATACTGAATTTGTATTGATCATCGACTGTCATTAGAATGAAGACTCTATTGCTGTTTTCCGTTCATCAAGATAAATCAGAGGTTTAAGAGATGGTTTTGAAGACTGTTGCATGCTTGCTTCTAGGGTCAGTTTGCATCTTATCACTAAGGCATTTTCTGTAAATTTCTTGATGTCCTCGTCATACCATTTTTTTGTTTCAAGAAGTATTAAATGTGTTATAGTAATTGAAAGCAAACACGCAGTCTTCACTCCTGTTACCCTAATGTGACTTTTGAGTTAGTTTTGTTATGGTATCCTTTGTAAGTATGAATCTCCACATGGAAATGACTTTTAAATGTAAATTTACTGAGATATTTTTAATTGCACTATTTCAGGTTACCTGGGAAGAATTTCTGAATTACTACAGCGGTGTTAGTGCGTCGATAGATTCGGATTCCTATTTCGAACTTATGATGTGGAAGGCATATGGTTTATAAACTCATACTTTATGTATTCAGTCATGAAATAATATAAACGCGACCTTTTCTGTTGGGAATACTTATTCACTCCAGATATTGTTATTGTTATCTAACAGGATTACTGCACCGAACGTGATATTTTCGAATTATTTTATTCCTAGATATTACTATTATCATTGCACTATTTGTTGTCGTAGAAAGCATATTCCACTGAATCATCATGTTTATTTTCGGAAACACGCTTGGATTAGTAGTCTTCTAGTCTCTTTCAGGGGTATATAAAAGATTTATTTGTATTTCTATTTCATGCTATTTTAAAGAACCATTCATTCTATTGGTATTTGTCTTCAACTATATGTTAGATATTAGAACTGTTCTTTTTCCCTTACATTACTGTTGTATTCTGGTACTTAATTTCCTGACTTTGCAGCTATATTGTGCTTGTTTGATGATTGTTTTAATAATATTTTGGACTTTCAAACGTATACTTTCTGGATTTTAAACCTAGGACCAGTTAAAGTGTTTTTGGTGATTGTTATCGTGAATGATTCTATATTCCAATACACTCCACTGGACATCGGTGTGAACTGTAGCGTTTGGTCTGCATAGTATTTTCAATTATTTTTGATGACTAATATTTGTAGTAAAACGAAGATGCAATATTAATTTTTAAGTACATGAAATTACATAATTTAGCTATCAGTAGTTAGCGACTATGATTTATATGGTCACGTATATTCAATAAAAGCAGATTCGATAATCCTGTTTTTAAAGGATATTCATCTTCGAATCAGAACAAGTCTCCTTGGTAAAAACATTAAGGTTTGTTAACAAAACATCTAACCAAGTCATAATCGACATACAACTTGGTAAGTTGGCCTACCACATAAGTATGTTTATCATCGGCTTCTTTGGATTGTTGTTATTACTCAGCAATTATCTACTTAGGACTTAGTACTAGTAGGTCGAGCGACTTCGCCACATTGCATCATCACAGTGAGATAAAGGTGACGAGCAAAGTAGTCAAGACAATAATAGTATCAATAACAGCTAAAACGATTAAGTAGAATATGTTTCGAGAAGCAGGGGTTGATGCCTCGGATAAGAGTGAGAAATAATACTGTTAATTTAAATCTAGAAGGAGAAAAAAGCACACATTTTACCATTTAGACCAATTCTAAGCCCTGTCACATAAGACCTCAAACTATCGAACCTGATTGTCACGGGTACTCCAACTTGGTGGTTTGCAATCCAAGAGTTGGTGACTACGAATAGATACTACATCCCAGCTTAAGTGGCTGGCGTTCTACCGATACGACGGTCACCAAAGCTGCATAAAATCATGTTTCTTTCTGAATCTTCACTGAAGCCTCAATAGTCAACAGTAGAAAGCCTAGCTAATTGCTTTCCTAGTTTGGGACATGACTACGAATCGGTTTCATAAGAGCTGATGTTATAGTGGAATTCTCAATACTAAAATTTATCTGATGCAACTTAAACTCCGTGCTTGTTTCAGCAAATCAATTAGATCACACTAGACAACTGTTTAGACCCGCCTAATAGAACTGAGCTTAAAGTTTGCGAAATTGTCTTTGGAAAAGATAGACTAAGTTTACTTTCAAAAAACCTTAATAATGAGCAGAATACTTTGAAAAAAGCAAGTAGTCTTATTCATAAATAAAGATCTGCGGACCGCTTATTAAATTCCTGAGTGTAAAATCGTCCTTCCGATCCAAAGAGGGACTAGAGGAATTATCCTGTGAAGGGGATACACTAAACCACTGCGGGCTGACTTGTAGAGACCTTTAGGTTTGGTGTTCAATTCTCAACTGTTAGGTTACGATGTTAGCTTACGTTTGGTAGATAAACTTAATTTTACAAGAATGGCTGCGGTCGCTGACCCCAGTTCACGAGTAAAGGTAATAAATCCTCTTGGCAACCACAGGAAACAGTCTAACCATTAATGTGTGGGATGCTAGCTTCGGCGATCAGCTAACTCTTAACTAGAGTTTGGGATCGGCAGATGCGAGAGTTAGAGATGTCTCAGACGTGCGAGTTAATGTACTGACCAAGTCTATCGTCCTCTTGGAGCTGAAACGTAACGATACTAAATAAGCCTTCCAACCACTCAGGTAGCAAAGTAGCAGGTTTGGAGAAGACTAGGAGGAGTACTATAAATACAGTCACTTCATGGGATTATTGTGTATTGAACTGCGTAGCATCAAAACATGTAAATATACTCCCAGACCTCTTCAATGCAATGGTCTTCATTTATGGCTGGCGTTGATTGACAGCCTGAAAGTGATCCTAAATGCATCCATTCTCTATCTTACTCTAAATTTCGTATTGTCCCTTACATTTCTATTAAACTATATAACATATGTTTGTCTTTCCGCTACAGTTGATACTTTTATTTCCCCTGATGTGGTTCTCACCTTGTTAATTTCTCTTGATATGGTGACAATATGGACTGATAGACATGTGTACCATTTTCTGTGACTTACGACCAACTGATTATCTAGATTACAGAAGTTGTTTTCATCAAGTTTGTTAGAAAACACTTCGTTAGTATGCTGTGTACTTCTCAGTTTTGTCTGATGATAATTAATACTACATTTAAAAGGTATTACTTGCTCACATAGACAATGTAGCATGTCAACCAGCATGAAGAGCATTATTTAGTGATTAGATACTTCGAGAAATTTCAGCTATATAATTTTCAGTTAGATAATATAATTAACCTTTTACTCAGAAAAACATTTTATGGAAATATGTTTATTATAGTGACGATCAAAGGACATTGATAAGTATTTTGTTTGCAGCTATAAAACATAGTGTTATTATCTAATTATGTCCTATTTCACTATCATTTCCATCACTTATCGATAAATCTAAATTCAAACTAAATATTAGAATTTTCAGTTGGTTTATTTGTCATTGCTTCTAATATTGGTTGTACCTTGCAGTTTGAGTGAGCTGTTATTGAATGCCTATTCAAAAAACTAAGGTAGATAAGATCTTCATTTGACGGCTGTTTTAATGAGTCTTTCACCGACACTTGACTGATGCTTCTTGTTGTTTGATAAGGTAATAAGGGGTTAATTTGTTCTATCATGGAAGCCATACATTTTGGACAATTAGTACGGCTAGATGGTTCAAATTCATCGTAGACTTCATAGTTCAAACACGCCCCAAACTCATTATGATAAACTGGTTGCTGCTGTGTTCCACCAATTTTTTGTGGTGTAGTAGCGGATAAAATGGAACATCTCAGTGAATCACTTAACAGCTGTTTCGCATGTAGGTTCTGACTAAAGGTGTATTGAAGTTGATGCTGTTTTAACTGTTGCTTACGTTTGCACACCCAGATCACTGTTAAACATACAGTTAAATTCGTCAGTAGCAAGGAGCAGCAGATAAAAGTCACTTGGTTCAAACTGAGACACGATAGTAGAGAACATTTGACTGAAAATACAAAAAAAATTAAACCACAACTTTTAATAATAGTATAAATCGTAGACAATTGATAATAAACGTTGTGACTCTATCTAAATGATGGGTCTTTAGATCCTGACAGAATCTTTATATGATGACTCTGAGTTCAGTCTCATTTTAGTGAGTCTGTGCACTAGGCAAAGCTTTTGGAGAAGAGAAATAAGTAACCAGTTCTTCTTTGCTTTTCTCACCTTTCTTCAGTAAACGCCTATATACGGCTATCTGTTTTCGAATCGACCAATTTATCGAAAATCATTTGAGTAAATAATAATTTAGCTGTTACTATTATTAATCTGATGAGTCGGACGAAAATTTTGAAGTCGGGATAAAATTATTCGATTAGTTTGCTTTTGGTAAATAAACCTATCTTGTGCTGTAAAGTGTACCACGATAAAACAGTAATTCTCACAAAATTGTTCCTGGTATTTCGGCTTAATACAGGAAGTTCCTTTCAGTAAAATAGACTTGCCCAAATACCCCAAGTTTTTCAGTTCACTAATTGACAGTGCATGAATCCCCCTTTACGATTCATTTAAGTTCAGTTTATTCCATTTGTATTTATCCTTCACCTATTTTCTTCCCTCATGCTTGGTAATAATAATATACATACCACTAGAGTTGTGTGATACTTCTTTCTGATTCACTATTTGGAAAACAAAAACCTTACAATGGGAATTCGCTTTAGATTATTGTTTTTTCGTAATAAAATAAAAAGACATTTTTACGGTTAGCCTAATGCTTAGGTATCTGTTAGTCGTTGAAATACTCGGTTTTAAACCTTTAGATCACACTTTCAAATCGCTCCCGACTTATTTCAATTTACTCAGTCGGACAGCTTCACTGTTCCTTACTCAACAGATAAGATGTAAAGTCAGGTGAAGTCCATTCATTTTTGGCAAGTCAGTTAATTTGCATTATTTAGTACCATTTACATAGATGAACGACGATGAAATAAGTCAGCAAAATCACGGTATACAACTTTAACTGTTCATCTACCAAATTGATCAATACTTATGGCGACATAAGTCTCACATATCAAGACACCCTTATAAAGAACTCATCACAACTAGATTCCCACCGACAATAGTGAGTCTGAAGTTTTAACAACAACCTTCAAACACTACGTACGTTCAACAAGATAAACGTAGTTTCGCTTATTACTTAGGACCAGATAAATAATGATTTCATAGAAATCATGAACCGATCTAAGTTAGACCACGATTGAAATCCTGGGAGCATTGGAAGGCTATCTCGTCCTAGTATGGGACTCCTAAGCATTAGGTATCCACGACTGTGCATGCGAGACTCGAACCCATAATCCTCAGCCTGAGCGCGGACACTTAACCTCTAGACTATTGAGCCGACGACCAATGGTGATAATGCAGCGGATGAGCACTTCTGAGAAGTCCCATACTAGGATGAAACGGTTCCCCATTGCCTCCAGGTTTTCAATGGTGGTCTAACTTAGATCGGTTCATGATTTCAATAAAATTCAGCAATCTCCACAACACCATACTGATAAATAATAATTATTTGTTAAATTACTTAACGAGGAACATAAATATTTCTCTGAAATAATTTCTTAACTTGAAGAATTTTTGCAAGTTGTGTTGGTAACATCCTTTCTACAGCATAGTTTTGGTCACAATCACTGAAGGAATAATTAGTTTTTACTTATTCAAGTATAGATATCAGTGACACATATATACATATTTGCGCACAAATATACATATTTATAAGCATATCTCTTGGCTTAGATGTTAATGTAGATCTTGGATAATGGTGAGAAATTTCTTCCATCTCCTTACTTAAGTCACTAATTCCTTTGAAGGGAAAATCATAACAAGTATTCTGTTCGTAGCAATTATTTGATTGAATAAGGATCTGTTGAGTTTAATTTCCAGCAGACACATCTCGTTAGTTTTTGCAAACTCAAGTATAAAAGTAAACGCTATAGCCCGTATATTTCAATGGTTTATTAATCTTGATAAAATCAGTAGCATAAGTTATGACTGACGGTGGGGAAAACTCTTTATAAAAAGTTAAACTTGTTTAAAAAGAAAAGCTTACTAACAGATTGATGTTGCAAGAAATAAACATTCC